CCCACAACTGGGACAAACAGACTGACTTATCAGCTACATGTGGCTCAGTGGAGTACAGACAAGTCCACCAAGTCGTCGTGTCTCACCACTTGACTTCATTCAGTTGCCATGATGAACTGCAAACAATAGAGACCTGGGGACCTATTATAACCTGAGGATCTATATTGTCCACTAAGCAATATTGTATTAAATATTTCTGACTATAAATGGCAGCTGACATGAATTATAATATTACTCTCACATTTTCAAACACAAAGAAAGTTCATGAATAACAGAATGATGTGTAGAGTGACACCCTGTTTTCTTCTCCTTCGTAAAAGTGCTATAAATATTGACATCAAACACAAGATAACACTACCAAGCTTGCACACACAATATACAGCAAAAAATCTAAATAATATAAACAAACAACATAAATCAATTTGAATTACAATGAATAAAATGAATTGATTTTAAAACTACCAAATTTGGTCTTCTGTTACTCAAGAATAATACTTGACCTGGTCACCAGAAAAGATATAAATTGGCACACAAAGGCACTGCATAACACATCTTCTTGTGATTGTGCACAATGCGAGATTGGACTATGTATACAGTGTATAAATAGTATCAACACTATACCATTAAGACACATTTGACATCTAAACACAAACGTAATAAATAAGATTGCACCAGCAGGCTGTGAATTAATGCCATCCTGTCCAAACTAACATTTGAATTGTGTCACACTGCAAAGTAAGTAGTGTTTCATCATTTTGGCCCATTTGAAACAATTAATAGAAGTCAACTAATGTGGTTAAGAATGAACATGAAGAAAAGTAGCAGCCGTCTGACAAATGTTAGATGATTTGGAGTATATGCCAACCCACTACGTATATTAAGGTACATACAGAATGTCACAGTACCTACACATACTGAAGTAATCTACCTAGCAGCTGTAAGTTTCATGATTGGGAATCTGTTATTTGGAATGATGTAAGCTTACAAACACACCTTATAGGCATACATGGGAAAACTGATGATCAAGCATTCAGAACTCAACAAATGATGATAAAGTACCATGTCAAATGAACTCTAACAATGATGACAGTATATAAAGTACCATAAGTACAAATGATGATAGCTAACTAACTTATGGTCATAATATAAGATAGCTTACTTGTATGATGGCCACAATATATGATAGCTAACAAGTACTATGGTCATAATATAAGATAGCTTACTTGTATGATGGCCACAATATATGATAGCTAACAAGTATTATGGTCATTATATGATAGACAAGCTTACTTGTATGATGGCCACAATATATGATAGCTAACAAGTATTATGGTCATAATATAAGATAGCTTATTTGTATGATGGCCACAATATATGATAGCTAACAAGTATTATGCTTACTTGTATGATGGCCACAATATATGATAGCTAACAAGTACTATGGTCATAATATAAGATAGCTTACTTGTATGATGGCCACAATATATGATAGCTAACAAGTATTATGGTCATAATATAAGACAGCTTACTTGTATGATGGCCACAATATATGATAGCTAACAAGTACTATGGTCATAATATAAGATAGCTTACTTGTATGATGGCCACAATATATGATAGCTAACAAGTATTATGGTCATAATATAAGACAGCTTACTTGTATGATGGCCACAATATATGATAGCTAACAAGTATTATGGTCATTATATCAGACAGCTTACTTGTATGATGGCTACAATATATGATAGCTAACAATATATGATAGCTAACAAGTATCCTGAACTCAGTGATATGTCACTTCTATGATTCCTTCTAATCAGTATTATGGTCATTATAACACAGCTTACTTCTAGAGACATATGATAGCTAAAGTATGAACTCAGTGATTGTCATTGAGATTCCTCGAAGTAAATTTGGAACTACCCTGCTACTGCTTCAGCCCTGTAATGATTGTCATGCACAGATTGCCTTGTAGTGGTGGTGGTGGTGGAGGAGGAGGATCAGGATCAGGATCAGGACTCTGGGTCAGGAGTATGGTTGCTTCATTGACCATGAAAACATGAATACAGAGGGTGATGGAGTACATTATCTTCTCGTTTGTTTGTTGCTCAATGTTTCAGAATTCGGTACAAGAGCTAGCAAATGACTGGAACAGACGATCCATTGACGTCTATTTGAACTCAACTACAAACATCACATCATGGGAAGCTATTTTGCTTCAAACTGCCAGTAAACCATTATAAACATGGCCATATTACAGGATGCCATTTTGATAGAGTAACATTTCACATACATAGGAATATGTTTAAAGATTATATTTGAATAAACATTAGTTTTGCCTGACATTGTTCTGTGACAGACCACTAAACTGCTGCCTTACTAGAAATATGAGGAAGCTGCACTACAGCTCCATTACAGTTTATGTACTTAGAATGAATAATTGAGAACAAGCTACTATCTTATCACTCGTTGTGAAAATAATAAACACTGAATAATTAAACATTTAATTTGAAAAACCGAAACCAAACACTGACGACTGTAGACTGGTACACACAGGTGGTCATTAGGTACTGACTCTATAGGGCTCCACATGAATAGTTTCGATACTATGTGGCTTCACAAGGTCTGTTGGCCTACAGGTGTTCGTGAAAACCCATTACAAAGTTTGATTCGACTTTTGTTTCTTTCAAACACAATCACAGGAAATGATATTTGGAAATAAAATAAAAATGTCGCTTCACCTACAAGGTTGATGGCAGTGGAGGTGAGTGCCATAATGGCATCTCTTAACTTCAATCTGACTGAAACCCAACATCACCTTTTGACTAGCTAAAGCATCATCGTGTCATTTAAGAATACATACTGTATCTACATGTAGCCCTGTGTTACCAATTCCTGCAACCAAGTAACCAAGAACATGTGATATGTTCGGATGGTTGCTTCTCTTGTCAATGGGTTATTTTATGCAAACACACTAATTTAATTAAAAATGACAGTCATATGTTTCAGCTATCTCTTCTAGCATCTGGAAACAAAACCACTATGGAAATCAATCAATGTGCTCAGGTATCAGGAATGATCACTGCCATCAGAACACAAAATTCCATTGGAAGAGACGGGCATGCAAGAGGAGTGAGTGAGTAGTTTTACAGCACTTTTGGCAATATTCCAGCTATATCACACCACTGGAAGATCATATAGCATTAAGTTAACTTCCATTTCACATAAGGATATTCAGATATCCAAATAATCCTGAATGTTACACATTATGTATGACGGTTGTCACTGATGACATTGCCACATACATACTGTAACTGCAACAGCTAGTAAACACTAACTATAATAAACATCATGAAAGTCATCACAAATCCGATGTCTGTATTTTAGTTTTTGTTTGGATAAATTTAGGAGACCGGGGTGCAACCAGGTTTTGTCTGGTGCATCTCTCTGTTCATGTTCACATGTACCTGGTGGATGTTAAATCAACCATGTGGGACTACAGCCACACAGTATGCCACAGAGAATCAGCTGAAGCTGACGAACCAGCAATCATGATCAGGCCAAATATCCCCCCTCATCATAGAGTTCAGGTGGGTGTCAGGGAATAGCAGTGCCTCAGATTTCCCAAAGGGAACACGCAGGCTATTGCTAAATCAGTATAACATAAGCCTAATTCTAACATGCACCTTTGGCAATATTCACATCAGCAAATTTTCACATCACCACCAATGTGTTTTGACAAAATATAAAATACGAAACACTCAGGTTGCTTCTTACTTCATGCACACTTACAAAATGCTTGTCTCAAGATGCCAGCATCGCTAAAGCACAGCATCATTTTCATATTTAAACATCATTTATACAAAGGGCTGCCTGCTCCTACCAACCTTTTCAAGTCACTGCCTAGAGACCCCTTGATGTTGATTAATAAACTTAGAAAACATCTTATTTTGTCAAGATTGAAAACAACAACACTTGCCATAATACTTTCAAGGCAATGAGTATATAAACATCACATACAATGTTAGATGACTTGAGCTATTCACCACTTGGCACTTGGGCTAACGACAATATTCACTATGGACATTGTAACAGGGAACAAACATTAACATCCATGTTGGAATGAAAGTTCACTTTGGTAAGAATGCGGTCATCATGCCACACACACATTCATCATAAGTATACACAGATTCAGGCATATTGCCTCAAGTTTGGAAAACATTTTGAAATGAAATTTTATAATAAATATCATCCTGCAATGTGACAATACATTTGGTACCAGCTGGCTGACATAGAAGTCACTCTTGCTTTGGTGGGAGGCTTGTCAAGAGTTACTGACATTTACAGGATAGATAGTGCATTCGATGGGTCATTATTCTAACCTGGAGGTCAGTTTACCTCCATCCCCTTCCAACTTGGATGATCAGTATCCCAATCAACTTGGGGTGAGTTAACCCTTCTTGTCAACTGTTGATGACAACCAGTTTGCAGAAAAGTTAAAATCAGATTAAAGTCACAACATTATTTAGTGGGACACTGTGATGGCATTCAAATAATGTTACACAGATCCAAATGTCACAAAAATACTTGATTAACATTCTACTGGACTTCAAGTCCACACAAACACATTTCCATAAATTGAGTAATCGTAGGATACTGGGGTGGCAATATGAAACATTCTTGTTACATTGTTAATCAATGTAATTGTTCCAGTAGAGCCAACAATCACCTGTTCACAGATCTGCAAGGAAGTATCCATTCAGATCAACTTGTGCTGATTTTTACCAAATTATAATCACATACCCTTAAGGCCAGCCTGTTTCTCTGATTGTCCAGGGCAATGCCATTGTTATTCATCCTTTAAAACAAATGTCTAGCTGATAATTCAGCTGTTATATGAAGGATCACGCAGCACTGTTCAATACTCTAACTCTAGTATATAAAAGCATATGTGTAAATCTTGGATATTGTCATAATTGCAAAAAAATAATTTCTTAATAGAAAGCAGTGAAACATCTTTGAATACATAATGGAAGAACACAGATCTTAAATCAGAACATAAGCAAGACAAGAATCTGTTGAGATGATAAGCAATGTTTCTCTAATTCAGCTGCATAGGTAGTCTGCACTTTAACATACAATAATTGATGTATTCTGTGAAAGCGTTTTGATGGCCACTCATTAAAAACAACCTCTCTCACCTATTTTAACTAATTGGATATTGTAAATATTTAACTATGATATAAAATTATAAAAAAACTATAGATACTAAGGAAAAGTCAACATTAACAAATTATCATAAATATGTAACCCACAACACCTTTCTGGTGAAGACCATTTGGAAATACAACAATTACACAATTATCAAAACTGCTTCATCTGGCAATGACACTAGAACCATAGCCTAGCTGATCCTTCTTAATAAATCTGTCTGGAATAAATGTTTTTGATTTCAAGTGTACACAAGAAGCAGATTAGGATCTGCAATGCCACATCTGTCTGATGATGAGCAAGATATAGAGGTATCAGTGTTAGAAATTAAGGGGGCCCAAGCTAGAGAAATTGGGCTTAACATCAATTTATTTCTCAACATGTTGGGGTTTTAGTTCAAAATGATAAGATGGAACCCAAAAGTCCAAGAATCCATGATGAAAAGACCATGAATCATAGTTATGATAAACTCAGATTTGAGCTGACAATCAGCAGATCACAGCATGGAAAGGAAGGCAACTCTGAACAGTCAAGAAAATGATCATGTGCAGAGACCTGGGTGCTTTTGGATTCATTTTTGAAATCAAGAATCCCAAATATCCTGAACAAATGAAAAGGACCCCTGGTTTTGTTCTTAATTTCTAACAATGACTGATATTCATAAAAGCAGATGATACTAAAATACGTTTGAAGATTGCCATTTCTGAAAAGCCTTAAGGTACAGGTACAGACACATCATTGTTTACATAATTCAAACAATAACAATCAATCTACTGTAATAACTTGTAATCCTATAAAATATTTTTGACAAAGAGTGGCGCCATTAATTTCACTGAGTTAAATATTGAAGAACAGGAAACTGAAAAACTCTTAAAAACCAGTGCACAATTCTGCACACGGCTGTACTGAGACGTACAAAACTGTCCTGATAAAGCTGGAAACTGCATAGCATATAAACAATGATCACCTCTGTAAAAGTGTACTGTGACCACAACCATATTCAAGGCTTGAACTTGATCTTGTAGAGTTTCAACTTGAAACCAAGCAGCTCAGTGAGAACGGCTGAAAATGCTGACAAAACAACAACTTTTGTGATGTTGTAGATGAGTGGGTTTGCAGAGAACCCAGAAATCTTGAACGGGCTCTCCAACTCCTGAAACATAGAATAGTTATTTCTGTATGGATCTAAGATATTAAATGAAATTTGGAAATTTAGAATTGGAAAACAGTATCAACTGTTAATTACTATCTCAAAACTATTCAGACACACATTTCATATGTTTGACATCATTCAAATCAAGATTTAGCGGTGATGAAAAAAAGGACAAAGAAATAGAAATGACGGATTCTACAAAGAGTGAGTGAGTGAGCAAGTTACGTTTTACATCACTTTGAGCAATATTCCAGCAATATCACTGTGGGGGACACCAGAAATGGGGTTCACACATTGTGCCCATGTGAGAACCCCACCACCCTATTCTACAAAGAATTGCTCAACTCATTCAAGACATATGACCCAACAGATGCCCCAACCTCCTCTCATCCGGAGGGAACTCACAGCATCAGCTGTATAAATCTATGTGATCCGACCTCATACGGACTTGCTGTACAGGGGGAAAAATAGGACAATCTCACACATCTTAACAGCTATGAAACGCAACCTGACTCAAATGGCAAAACTCAAGTTATGGCCTTAATTAAGATCTTTTCAAGGCACTTATAACATTATTCAACAAAATATATTGCCTTTTGAATGCAGATTCAAGTTCTTTATGAGTTTTCACAGAGTCTGTGTGAACCATGGGCTTGATGATCTTACCTTGAGAAGCTCCTCTGCCAGTTTGAGGACATTGTTGGCCAGCATCAGCTCCTCCTTCTTGTGGGGCTTCTGTTCCATCTGCAGGTACAGGTTGATCTGAAACAAAGCAGTAAGTGTCAGTACTATAGCATTTGCTTGCCTGGTTGGTTGCATGGCAGGAGTACTAATGTGTCATCGCGCTGTAAATACTTCCACATTTTGGGCAATTTGTGTGAACTGCTTACCCTTTTTGCAAACACCTGGTGTCATCACTGATTTTCAGAGGTCTATTCATATGATTTTCACAGCTATTTTGCTGTTTACAGTGAAAGGAATCCATTTCTAAATATAGTTAAAGCTGGGTATTCTTTTGCATAGATATTATATACTTTGGCAGACAAGGAAGCATTGTTAGTGGACACACAGAGATAAGGTAATGCTGCAGGATGAATGAAGGAGTGAGACACAAATGTAAGCTGACATCAAAGTTATAACAAAATGTTAACGTAATAAAACATTGTCCATCTGTTGTTCTTACTTTGCAGCTTCAAGAAATCAATTATTCAGAAGCATTTACAAAGTAGTCTCAGGGTCAAAAGGAGAAGAATTGACATGTGTCAAGTCCTCGTAATTCAAATACTGCGCACTGCTCAAGGTCTCAAGGAGTCACTTTAGCCTAGCCCCTACCAACAATTCTGTAATCCAGTTTAAAACACTAATAAGAAATATCCTTCAGTTTCACTGGCATCAACAGTATAAACTTGATGAATAACTTTTAATTAGTATGTTTCTGGAGTTCTTCTTCCTAAATAATGTCTCTAGCCAACTCAAGCAGCTGTATAAGGAGGCAAGAATATGAGCTCACTTGTTCTGTGATGAGCACTGACAGGTTGCGGTACTTCTTGTTGATCTTGAGACCAAGGGTCATGAAGCGGAGGAGGTACACACCAAGTGCTAGACACCAGAACACCAACTCCCAGTTACATTCAAAATCCAGGTACGTTTCTGCGTCCTTCAGCATCTGTAACCATGGTAACAAAGAGATACAAGTCCCTCACAACATGTCAGCATCTAAAACATTCTTAAAAGGACACCTGGTTAATCTGGACAGCTGTTTCCAATCAACTGACTCACATGAACAAGTTTCAAAAAGCTGTTGGCAACATTCTTGTAATTGTGTGAATGAGTCTTTGTTGATTTTGGTCCCAATGTTTTTCTCAGAGTTAAAGTCAATATCAGCAACAAATCTGGAAAAAATCAGGTTTTTCCCACTACTTACCTGTAGGCACATAAGCGTAACAATGCAGATAGCAAGCAGGAAGGTTGCAGAAACAATAACATCCACAGACCTCTGGGGTCCTCGGCGCTGAAACAAACAATATAAATACTGAAAGGGACAGGATTTTGGTACCAGGTCTCCGTTGAACTTTATTTCTTAACATGGAAAAATAGCCTTCTCACAAGAATGATGATAGGTTTTCATATGATGTGATCAACAATATTAAAAAATACATCACAGAGATCTTCCAAGTTGAAAAGACCCACTTGGGATCACTAGTGATAAATAAGTAGAGTAATATTAAAAAGCAGAATGATAAGCTGTGCTCAGTTTACACCATACATCCATGTGTAGATCTGAGTCAGTCCCAGGTAGTATCCTGTAATTGTTGTACATAATTTCAACAGTCATTATGAGAACATCCTGAAAGAATGGGTGAAGACGTTACCTTGAGGTAAGATCGCAGAGACAGCCATGTTTTGATGTTTCTCACTTTACTGAGACGGAAATGTGGCATGTCAAATTTGCGGGCTCGACGAGAAGATGTGAGGTAGCAGAAGTGCTTGGCATATAACAGGCGCTAGAAACAGTAAAATTACAAGTTTTACTTATTGTCTGCTCGTAACTCTCCTCTGAATGCTTAACACAAACCTGTTGGAAATAGGCGTGCTTATCTCCCCTTGATCAAAATAAAGAAACATATTGAAGAGACCATTTCATAAATCTGCATACAAGCAAGGTATGAACTGGACAAACCAGTCATTGTTTAGTTTGAATGTTGGTTGAAGGTTAGTTAATGTTTGACACCTATGTAAATGTTGTTGCTTTCTTTTGCATCAAGCATGTAAATTTGACACTATGTAAAAGATTAATGAAATCCTGTTGTACCAACTGTATATTAACATCTTGTACACTGGTAAAACAAGTGTTAGATGGTCAGTTTACTGGCGATGGAACCAGACATTTTGTGAAATATTTACCAAAGTAGTAAGCAGTGAAACAAGTTCGAAAAATAGTTGGAATGTATAGTAACATTCTTCAGGTGTATTTTTAAAACATTATTGAACAATAATCAGGGCTTTACACGATGCACAAATGTCCGTCCAGTATGCACAAATGTAGAAAATGGATGCAGAAAACAAATTCACTACGTCCAGATGGACACACAATACTATTCTCTGTATCCACAACACATATAGGACTTCGCTAAGTATTTGGTTTCTTTCAGAGCATTTACATGCATCATTTCACCATCAGTCTGCGTGTTCAATGATTCATTCCAGACTCTAAAAAATTATCAAAACATATAGTTACCTACACCGTTACTTCATAGGACCCTCATATTGCCTGCAAGGACCCTTAAAACTAATAACTGGGGAAACCCCATGTCTTTTTGAGTCGAAGTAAAACCCTGAATAATACTCAGTGTTTCACAGGGATAATCATATATGTCATTCTACTTAATTTGTATGGAACCCTAGAAGTGACACTGTCACGTTGTTGCACTGTTGTGTTGTCTCCCTTACAAAAACAAGCAAAAAAGTATCAACATTTAGCAAAGTGACAGTGTCCCTTTTAAAAACCAACAGTGTTGAGCATCTTGGAAAGCCATTCAGTATATCCCCATAAAAGCAGAGTAGTATATTCAATATGATGAAACATTACAGCCCAAAAAATGGAGACATCAGTGCATATATTTGGATTGAAAACTGTGGCCAAACTAACCTGTTTAAATGTCCTGTCAGCAACAGACAGCAGGAAGAAGAAAATGAGACTAAGGCACAACCTCTGCGTAACACCATTCACAGCGAATAAACTACGTCTGAAACAGAGGTGGAACAATATATACATCAACTGACAACTTCATAAACACCAATCCAAATCGTTTACACTGATACAGTACCTCATGGCATCAGGATTAGAAGACACATAGACAGTAGGAAGTGTCACACGAAAACTCCAAAATCTGCTATAATTCAGCCCTTATTTCTGGACAATGATTCAGAAATTTCGACCTTTGCAACAGAATACCACCACAAAACACATATATACTGAGTCCAAAAGAAACTTCACAAAATGTAATTTGAAAAATAATGAATACTTTTTCTCTGATGATACATCTATGTATCCGAAATGGGATCCCTATCTTTCGACTCTTGAAAAACGTTAGCAAAACCCACTCAAACCCATCCATTCGTCATGCAAATGACGATAGTGCTAAATCAGGTTTTGCATGTGCAGTCGATCACGGGATCTTCGCATCGAAGTTTTCTTCATATGCACGTGTTTGCATTGGCCTCAAGAATTGAAAAAACACTTTTAAACCACAGTTCTAACGGTACTTGAAATGCCACGATTGTCAAATGTGCAACGTGAACGTGCCGTTGGCATGTTGCAAGCGGGAAGATCAGTTATTGACGTCACAAGAGCAATGGGATGCAGCCGTCGTACTGTGTATGACTTGTGAGGTCGTCTACAACAAACTGGCACCACTTCTGATCGCCCAAGGTCGGGTCGTCCACATGTGACGTCACGAGCAGAAGACCGTCAAATCGTCCTACGTCACCTACGTGACAGATTTCTGCCGGCTACACGAACCAGGGCTGAGATGTTTAGAGGTCGACTGTCCTCACAGACCATTTGAAATCGGTTGCGGGCTGCCAATCTCCATTCTCGACGTCCATATCGCTGGCCAATATTGACGCCGTTTCATCAACGTCAACGTCTGCTGTGGGCCCAACTTCACCTCCGATGGACCCAGAGAGACTGGAATCGAGTCGTCTTTAGCGATGAATCCAGGTTTACCCTCAGATTCGCGGACGGCAGGCATAGAGTCTGGAGACGACGTCGTGAACGGTATGCCCAATGTTGTGTACAGGATGTCGACAGATTCGGGGCGAAGTTGCATGTTGTGGGGTGCTTTCTGTGGGAACAATCGTTACCGACTGCTGGTCATCCGTGGGAACCTCACAGCTGCTGCTTACCGCACCCAGGTGCTCACCCCTGAACTCGTTCCTTTCATGGCGGCTCATGGCCCAGGTCTACAGTTCCAGCATGATAATGCTTGGCCGCATACCGCGATGTTGACACGAAATTTCCTTCAAAACGCTGGAATCAACGTCATGGACTGGCCATCGAGGTCCCCTGACCTTAATCCAATAGAGCACGTTTGGGATGCACTTGGGAGAAGGCTTCATGGTCTTAGGAACCAACCTCAGAATTTGCAGGAACTTGGCGCTGCCTTGCAAGAGCAATGGCGCAGAATCCCCAACCACGTGTTCACTAGCATCAGGCAGTCGATGAGGAGATGGTGTTTGGCAGTGGTGAATGCGCAGGGCGGCCATACACGATATTGAACTGAGAAATTTTGCATTTTTATTCTTGTGACTTGACATTCTGTATACCCATGTTTTGGAACGGCGGTGTAGCCTAATGGAACTGATTATGGCACTGTCAGTGTATCGAGTACATCACACATATCTCAGCAATGAAATAATAACAATTTAACCATCTTACCATCTCTTGTTCTTTTATAGTGCCCTGCAGAAAGAATGTGAAGTTTCTTTTTTGACTCAGTATATATATTGGACTGAAAACCCTTGGGGGTGAAGAGCCACTCCAAGTTCCTCCTGCTGCACCTACCTCCAAGGATTCTGCTGGAATCCCCTTCATGATCTTCCTGCTGCACCTCCTCTAACTACACCTACCTCCAAGGATTCTGCTGGAATCACTACTGAGTTCCTCCTGATGCACCACCTCTAACTGCACCTACCTCCAGAGATTCTGCTCGAACTCCCTCAAAGTTCCTCCTTAGTCAACTCCTCTAACTGCACCTACCTCCAGAGATTCTGATAGAACCCCCTCAAAGTTCCTCCTGAGTCTCCTCCTCCAACTGCACCTACCTCCAGGGATTCTGTTGCAGCTGGTCCCACATGCTGTAGATCCCGGCCAGCTTGAACAGATCCGGCAGCTGCTTTATGTGGTACAACCGGAACACCAGTGGGACACATGCCATGATGACAGAGAGCACAAGGCCAATGACGATGTAGTCAGAGCTCTCAGGCATGTTGTCCACCTTGTCGATGATAGCCCAGCCAATGTCCAGAGCTGTCAGGTCCACCTTCTTACATTCATTGCCTTCCCATAAAACACAGCTCACTGAAAGGACATACATCATTTGAAATGTTTACATGAACTCTACATGACACAATATGACCAGTTATCACGACAGAGACGTACATCTTTTTTTAATATTTTTTAAAAATGTTTTTATTTCCCAGCAGATGTTTACATGACATATAACAAGTGTTTGGCCACTGATATGGCAATGTCCCCCGCCGCTAAAGAATGGAATATCTACATTTACTATTTTTTAATTTTTGGTCACATACAAGATGCCTGAAATGACTGGTGTCTGCATAATCACGAAATGTAGGCTGTCAACATAATTTAAAACATTGGGTGCAAAGGTTTATGAGATATCGCGTTTAAATAAGTTTGAAAAGTGGTCAAAGTGTCGTGGTGACCTTGAAGATTAGGTCAAGGTCACCCAAATCAACTGGTGTCTGCGTAATCCCCCAATGTAGGATGTCACCAAATTTGAAGACATTGGGTACAACAGTCCATGAGATGTCGCGTTAACAAGAGTTTGAAAAGTGTTCAAAGTGTCATGCTGACCTTGAAGATAAGGTCAAGGTCACACACACACACTCCCCTATCTCAAAAAGCTGTATCCACCCCTGATACTTTTACCAAGTTTTGATGGTATATTTTTATGAGTCAGAGGTATTTGTGTTTCCTTGGAAACACCATATGTCATGCTTTGTTAAATATATCCATGACAGCTCATGCTTGTGAGTGAATTATTCACTGTTAAAATAATAATTTTACAGGAATGTTCAGAGTGACATATTCACATGAGAGTGGGGCCTAGATTTTACTCTGTTACATGTCTGAACATCATCACAGAGTTGGTTTTCCACAAGTCTTACATCGTAGAGGTTAGACAGGTATATATTAGTAGTGACTAGATGTAAAAAGTTACCTTTATCAGGTGGTGGAATATGGCTGACACCAGTGGAAGATGCTGTTGGCTGCAACACAGAGATATCAGATCAGTGACATCCCTCTCAGAGAGTTATACAGACACACAACACACCGAAACATGGTACGCAGACACACAATGCAGACACACAATGTGCAGACACACAATACACAGACACACAATGCACAGACACAATACACACACAATGCACAGACACAAACACAATACACACAATGCACAGACACACACACAATACACACACACAATGCACAGACACAATGCACAGACACATGCATGACACACACAGACACACAATGCACAACACACAACACACAATGCACAAACACACAATACACAGACACAATGCACAGACAATACAAGACACACATGCACAGACACAATACACAGACACACAATGCACAACACACAATACAGACAGACACAACACACAGACACAATACAGACACACAATGCACAGACAATACACAGACACAATACACAGACACACAATGCACACACACAATGCACAAAAACACAATACACAGACACACAATGCACAGACACACAATACACAGACACACAATGGACAGACACACAATACACAGACACACAATACACAGACACACCACACACAATGCACAGACACAATACACAAGACAATGATGACACACACAGACACACAATACACATACACACAATACACAGACACACAATACACAGACACACAATACAGACACACCACAGACACATAATACACCACAGACACAATACACAGACACACAATACACAGACACACAATACAGACACACCACAGACACAATAATCAGACACACAATGCACAGAAACACAATACAGACACACAATACACAGACACAGAAAAACACACCACACAGACACGCAATGCACAGAAACACAATGTACAGACACATAATACATAAACACACCACACAGACATGCAATACACAGAAACATAACACCAGGCACACAATATTAAACTTGAACAATATGCAATATTCAATAATTGAATTGCTACATTAATGAACTATTCACTGCATGCTGCAAATCACGGACATTTCTGGTTTTCCCACAATAATATTGGAGTGTCATTTGATGATTTTCTTAACCCTAACATTGAAATTCAGATCAGTACACACTGAAGGCTTTAAAGCATATTCAACAATGTCACATTAGTACAGTTCTGGTAAATATAGTGAAGCAAACCACATTTCTCCAGCTTAGAACTACAAAATGAATTACTTAAGATCCCCAGGACATGAAAGTTGAAAAACCCAGGTACATTTCCATACTTTTTAATTTAAACATGGGTCCTGAGCGGACCTCAATGAAATACCAATGTTTATTCAGTCGAAATAAGTTGTTCATGGACAAACCTCAAAATCCAAGCAAAGTCTGCTTGCCAGCAAAACCTGGGTTTGTCATTTCTTAATTTGGAATTTTAACAAAATTCTTTGTTGTCAGAATTTCAGAGAATTCATCCCTGTATCATAACTGCAGGGAAGTAGTTTATGCAAAAGGTTTTCCTTTCTATGGTGGTCCTGATAGCAATTAGAAATATGTCAACTCGATTAAGAAATGACTTGAGTTATTTTTACTGAGTGCATAGATAAATATCTGGTTGTAGGACAAATATAGGGAGATAACATGCACTTAACTGGTCCCACTCTTCCTGTACCTCAATGAATTATTTTGCAAATGATCAATCAGTTTCTGCTGAATATGAATTATGAAGGAGATCTGGGTGTTTTACTTCTTTCAATTGTGTTGGAAACATTCAGTTATGTTGGATACAACTGGCATTTATCAAAAGCCTGTGCCCAATGTGTTTCGACCTACTCACCGGCTGTAACAAGTTGATGACATGTAGGTTGCTGGTGGTCCATCCCTGGGTGTGCAGCTCATCGATCTCCAACTGGTTCTCCCCGCTGTCCGTCAGCTCGGCCTCTGATCCACAGCTCGATGAGTAGGACGAGGAGGTGGTCACATCAGACTGTATCCGGTCCTCCCACTCCTCTGAACTCAATGTCACCTGCACAGTACAACAATACCCTTGAGTCAATAAATAATTAGTCATCTAACTTCACAGGGAATGAATATTGTCAAGCCTGCAAACCATAATAATTATCAACATGATATGTAGACTAACCTCTTGTCTCTGAAATGAACATATTTTACAGAGAGATAGTTCTTGAACAAGAGACTTTCTTCACCCTGAAACTGCTGTAATCTAAACTTGGCTTCTGTTATGACTATGTCAAATGTTACTTTGTTCTTCACATTGATTTAACAAAAACCCACATGTGTAAACTATTCATATACTAGCATCTTTGTGTCAACAACAAACTGTCTGAGTGCTTCCACAGTTTGATATACCTCAGTTATGTTGAAAATGTAATTTTCTGACTAAAATTGATTTTTTATACTTATCCTGACTCATGCTAATTATGCTTGTCTCCTTCCTCTTGCGAATGAGAGTGGAACACTTGAAAACCCTTGAAGTTCCCCTTAAAAAAGCGGACGTAAAATCACTCACCCAGAGTAGCGTCCCTTTCCTTCTCCCTTTGGCGCCCTTTTGGTCACCTGACCGACCATGCCTTGTCACTCTCTCCGTATGAATGCCCGACACCCGGATTTACAGGGAAATCCAGAGTGCCATAAGAGGGGTGGTTGGGAGGGCTAACCTCATGAGTCAGGATAAGTATAAAATATCAATTTTAGTCAGAAAATAACACATTTTTCCTTATCCTGACTCATGCTAATTATGCTTGCAGAATCCGTCGGAAACGGTGGTAGGTCAGGCCACGTTCTGGATTCACTAGTTGTAGATTTACGTCCTGCATTACCCCCCATGGGAACTTATGACGGCACTGTTGAAGATTCTGTTCTTTCAACTTCTCACTGATGAGTCTGGGGGAACCACAACTTGTCAGATTTCTTCCGAAACTTCTCCTGACATTTTCGTGTGGATTTAGATATACTACTATTCCATTAGTTATCTATTGCAACTTCATCTCTTGATGCGCGCATCAAGTGAGAGATACAACCCTTCTTCATGTACGAGTATGTCCTATACAAGTACAGGGTCTATCACTCATGCTAGTCTGTCCTAGACGTGTGCATGGACTTATAGCCATTGCTCTCCAGAGCGTTGGTTTTCACAAGTCACGTGATAAAAGGGGTGAGATTTACTCAGCGCCTTTGTGGAACCGTTAGTTGTTGTGCTACAACAAGTGGCCCAGACTGGTGAATGCCTGAGACGTCTTCGGTGGCAATGTCTCTGAGGTAGTGGTTGGCAAACACCGTGTTCGATCTCCAAAAGCAGCCCTCCATTATAATCGAGCAGTTTCCATGCAGAGCAAGTGTTGATGCCAGGGCTCTGACTTTGTGTGTGGAGGTTGGAGGCTCAAGTCCTGCTGCTTTATAGGCTCGTGGAGGCTCTCATCCAGATCGATATCGGTGTCCGTGAGACTTCCGTGGGTATCTCAGTGGATAAGGGGATGAATAGACGCTTGAATTTTCATCTCCTTGTTATAGTTCTCTGTAGGTAGACTTTAAGTGCTCTGACTGGGCATAAGGATAGATCCTGCATATCCTGTGGCCCAAGGACTGTAGATAGTGCTGGGATGTGGAACTGTCTGTCAGGCTGACCGGGCAGTTGGTTCTTGGTGATTAAATCCCATCTCAGTCCAAGATGTACGATGTCACAATGTCTTCTTTGAAATCATCCTAGTTGAGTGAGCAGCCTGATGGTGAAGTCTAGTTGCAGTCTGAGTTGACTGGGATCTTGATGAGCTTGAATCCCGTCGTCCAGGTTGAACGCACTGCGTAGACCTCGACGATGTAAATATGTGACGATGGGCTTGGTCACTCGAGTAAACAACCAGGGGGCCGACGATATTCCAAACGTTAGAACCTTCCACTGGAAGTGATGTCCGTTGAACAGGAATTGTAGGTATTTCCTTGAGTCTGGATGTATCGGGATGTGGAGGTACATATCTTGCAGATCTATGCTGGCGAGGTAGTCTGCTGGACAAACGAGATGTCGGAGCTGAGGAAGATGTATCATCTTGAATTTTGCTGGTCTGCGTAGATACTCCCAGTTGAACTTCCTCATGTTGTAGATGAGCCGAAATTTCTCCTTGGAATTCTTCTTCGGTACCAGGAAAATTGGGGAGTAGAACCCGGGTGTGATGAGATCTTGATCTATCTCTTCTACTGCCTCTTTGTCAAGCAGGGTCTTGATAGCGTCGTCCAGTTTCTCTACCTGGTCGGCTGCAAAGTTGAAGGCCATCGGGTTGCTTGTGAGCAGCGGGGTGGCTTCCAACTGTATCTTGTATCTTGTACCCTCTGCGTAGTATCTGGGACACATAATCGTCTTGTAGAATTCCCCAATTTTCCCAGTATTGTTGAAGACGTCCACCCACTGTCGAAGGTTGTACAGGAACGGCTGGGGGTGGAAGACTCCAGTCGTTCCGAACCTGGCCTTCAGCGCTTGATTCCTCTTGCACCCCTAGGTGCTCGGCCTCTTCCGGGGTTACCTCTAGGAGCTCAGGTTGGGCGACAAAAGGAGCCTCTTCTTCCTTTCATGCTGGAATACTTGTTTTCTCTGGCTCTCTGGACTCCTGCAAACTTGGATTTGTTGTAGTAGCGTTGGGATGTCTGACGAATCACATTAGCCAAGGTGTCGAAGGATTTAATCATCAGAACCTTCCTCGAGTTGTGAGAGACTTCTCTGGCGACTTCTTCAATTCTTCCTCCAAAGATGTAAGGTGCTGACCATGGGGCTCTGCATGCTGACAGATAGCCCTCGATATGTTGATAGCCCTCGATCTGGCAAATCCTGAGAAGGTATGTCTGGTGGTTGTATCCAGCTGCGCTAACTTCTTATCCTCAATCTTGTAAGTTCTCTGACGGGAGTCGGTTATAATCTTGTAGTCATCATCCACCTCTGGAGCCTTCAGGAACAGTTCCATCCTATGTAGAGGGAACTTCCTGGCGTTGAACATCGGGATGTGCTGACTCTGAGACTTGGTGGCTTTATCAAAAGCTGCGCTGAGGTTGTCTTATACTCGAGATCGGGTCGATCGGTGGAAAGGTGAGCGTGTCAAAATCATCGTTAGACATCTTGTAGGTAAATGTCTCATCTGTGTCCTTAGAAGGTGATGCAAAGTCCAAGCCATTGGCGATCCAGGAGTTAACTTCCGTATCGAGAATATGCCTTCACCTTCCTTCTCTGATTTGGACATCTCTTGCTCTATGGATCCACGGCGACTTGAGTCTCTATGAGATGATCTGTATGAGGAGCTTCACGCAGCGAAGCGATCCCGATCGATCGATCGTGTATCCTTTCTGGAGTCTTGAGATGATTCTCTAGGTCTTCGTGAAGGTGGGTTTCTGGACGTAGCTTCCCCTCTGTAGGAGTGCCTTCGCGCAGGTTCTCGAGTCCGATGGAGATGAAAACTCATATCTGCGACGTCTATGGGGTTCAGGAGAATGCCTCAATTTCTTCCTGCGTGGAGACTTCTTAGCAGCAATCTCTGGATCGTCTACGGCTCAACTGACGTTGGTAGCGGTGTCCAGACTCCTCACTTCAGATGGGGAAGATCGTCGTGTCCGTGAGCCTTCGCGCAGGCTTCCCTCTTCATCCGGATGAGGTGGAGAGAGTGTAGAACCTTCACTTAGTCTAGTAGTCATTGTAGAGGTCTTCATAGCAGCCTTCTCCTGAGCGAAGCGACGTTCCATCATCGACATCATCTGGTCTGTAAACTGTTGCATGAACAGTCCCGGGTTGAAGTTCTGCGTTGTCTGAAGAGACTGCTGCAGGGATGATGCGTCTGATACTGAAGAGACGTCATCTAAGGCTCACTGCACTTGTAAAGAGTTGACGCTGCTGCTATCTCTGGTACCCGATGTCTGTGTTGATAGAAGGTCTTCTGTCAATGTCTGCGCTGATAACAATGCCGATGTAGCTGTAGAAGCAGGCTTTGTCTTCTTACTGACGATGGAGACTTCCGGTATGAGGATGGGTGGATCATCATAAACGTCTGCTTCTTCCGAAGGAACAATCTCGGCTGAGGAAGACCTCATCTTCTGTGTAGAGCTGAGCATAGACTTCGATGAAGTCTTCAAGGTAGTAGCCTTCTTCTTCTGCGTAGAAGATGATTTAGCCTTCTTCATCTGCAACAAGGTCAGCTCAGTAGACGATGATCTCTTATGGCCTCCGGCGTTCACCACTGGTACATCGACCTGCTCCCTAGAAAAGTTCGGAATCCCGGAATTATGAATGTCTGCAGCAGTGGTTAATACACGGTTATCAGCGCAATCATTCGATTTAGACATGACTTGTGAATACCTACATACCCAGTCCTTAGCATGTCTATGGATGGAAAAAAGGTAATTAGTAAATTCAACAGAGGTTAAATTTACACAAAACTTACAGCGAGAGCTGAAAGAACATGAAATAGTGCAATTAGGACATAATAAATGAGGGTCAGCCGCAGACACTCGGTACCTACAACGAATACAGGTTTTCATCAAATGTAAACACAATGAAAACACAAGTCAAACAACGGAAAATTTAGATCAAATTTCAAACCGTAATGTAGAATATAATCCTAAAAACCGTATACAGCAATAATTTTGATGTAAGGTCCGAAAATATAAAAGGATATGTGCCGTATAGGGATCCAGGTGCTCTCACAACCGTCCTCAAGGGCGAAGAAGGAGAGAGTGACAAGGCATGGTCGGTCAGGAGACCAAAAGGGCGCCAAAGGGAGGAAAAGGATGCTACTCTGGGCGAGTGATTTTACGTCTGCTTTTTTAAAGGGAACTTCAAGGGATTTCAAGTGTTCCACTATCATTCGCAAGAGGAAGGAGACAAGCATAATTAGCATGATTCAGGATAAGGAAACATCTGGAAATAGAGTGGTACTGTTGATTTATGTCATTAGGTTCTTGAATACCTACAAAGTGGAATTAGAGTATTGAAAGGTTTTAAAGTTCTGTTCCGGAAAGGAGCCCTACCACCAATTTCAGTTGAAGTAAAATTTGTTGCCATGGAAACGCAAAATACATTTTATTCAGAAATCCAAAACTACCAAAAGGCACCAATTCACCACCAGACCTATCTATGTGCCAAGTTTGGTGAAGAAATATTTTACGGTTTCTGCTCTGGAAAAGACGAATTTGCACAGATGGATGTCCAAAATAATACCACCCACAAAATGTGTTGTGGGGGATAACAACTGTGTCGGCTGTTTTGCCGCTATCCATGGTGTTTTCGTATGGTGAGGTGTTCAATTCCAAAGTGGTGGGGTGATATAGCCTTCTGACTAAAGTGTTTGCTCGTTACAGTCCATTTCAGATATTGACTGCCATGATCATTCTGGGATGTTGCTGAAAAGGTTATGAAACCATACTCACTCTCTGGTCTGAAAACCACATGCTCAGCAAACCCCTCGTAACCACGCATGCTAACTATTCAAATTTCAAATAGTCCAGATTGCATAATGATAGGTAGACAAGACACTACACTACACACTTACCTTATTTCCTGTGTCTGGTGTCGCTGGACCAGGTGTAGTTTCATTTTCCGAGGAACTCCCAACAACCCCATTTGGAGCTTTCACAGCTTGAGGCCATAGTCCCAAGTTATTTGGCACAACACGTGATCTTGCAACCTCCCCGAGATCTGCACTCTTATTGGCACTGTTAACACGTCGCCGCCGTCGTAATGATGTCCCAGACATGGATAACTTCATGTCTGTCATGACCTCATTCTCAGACACATCTTCTGCATCGGAATCCTGCCTGGATTTCTTTGCTAGGTCGGATAGTCTACGTGTGATCTCTAAATGTGTCTGTTTACTTTGAGTCTGAGATAACTCCGTTCCACAACTTTCCCTGAGATCATGGGAACTTTTGCTAAATTGTCCTGAATCCCCTAACTGTACTTTTGATTCATGCTCTGAATCTGAATGAATGTCATCCGAAATTCGTTCAGAATCAGCAAAGTTTTCTTCCTCAATTCCATCCCTGGAACTGCCCTTCTGGATTATCTCCCCTATAGCTCCTGGCAAATGTAAATCATTATCCTGAGATTCAGATCCGAAAGAAGAAAAGTCTTCCTCCAAAAAATCAACATTATTAACAGAACATAATTTATCACTTGCACTATTGGCAGACAACTGTTCACATTTTGCATTCATATCCAACAATTCTGTATTACACAAGTGTCCTGCTGTATGACCGTCCCTGGAATCAACACTCATGACACCCTCATGAGACACAGATGCCAGTGCAGATTTTCCTGACTCCAACTGAACAACATTCAGTTGATGTTTCTTCTGATTGTTAACTTTTATAGAATCCTTTTGATTTGGTTCCTTTGGTGATATACTTCTTCTGCATTCCATATTCTTCTGAGCGTTTCTCTTAACGGACATGCTTTTCTGTTTGCCCTTTCTGTCTTGCCCACTAAGATTATCCCTTGTGCTTCCTTTGGCTGATCTTGACTCCTCATTGTCAAGGGATGTGTCAGGGATAACTGTAAAACTCTTCGCTGACTGTGACCGTGACACTGTTGAATCGGATGGAATGCTTTCCTGAGATTTTTGACTACTTGTTGAAATGCCAACCTTACTTACACGTTTCTTTGATTTGGATAGACTTCTGAAAATGATAGAATTGCGAATTAATCTAAGTCAACGCCACTTGATAATCAAAACAAACTGACTCTGGGCCAACATTTCTGGGCCAACTAGTGTCTTGTTTTAGCACCATGAAAGATAACATAACCAACTAACATCTTCAGGTATGGCACTGACCTCTGCCTGTATGTGACATATGCTCTATCCATTAGACCATAGAGGCAGTTTTAACCTTATTCTGGTTACATGAGCTTCCAATTAAACTATGACAGCACTAACGACAGAACTGGGCCTGGACTTTCTGGGCTCTCTTAGCGCCGTAAGTTAATGTTAATGCATGGCACTTATGACTATCTTAGTGTTAAGAGAGCCCAGAAAATCTAGACCCTGGTTCATTAGGAGACTCTCAGAGGAAACATCAAGAAGCTTGTAAAGTTTGCACTAACCTGTTGAGTTTGTTGAGATCCCTTAGAGGAGTTTTGTGAGAGAGGTGTGATACTACAGTCTGGGAGTGAATCAAAGCCAGCACCATCATCAGTATGGCAGGCATCATGACCTCTGACAGAGACAGCTCCTGGAGACGACACCATACCAGTTAAACATTAAATACATTGCACACAGATGCCAATTCAAGTTTCAGGCAATTGCGAACATCTTGGATAATTATTGGTTAAGTAATTTACAACAACATCATAGAATGGGTATTTCACACAATCCTGTTGATTATCATACAAAGTAGTGATTGATATTATGAGGTGAGGTGAGGTGAAATTGGGTTTAACGTCGTGCTTGAGAATATTTCGCTCATATGACGACGTGCATGCGTGTGTATGTGTATGTGCGGCTGCTTGTACTAGCCCAGACTGAAGCTGGTTTTATAGTGCTAGCTCACTGAGATACCATGCCGCAGTGAAGCAGGAATACCCCACTCAGACACATTATACTGACTCCGAGCCGACCAGTCCTTGTTGTACCCATTAATGCCGAGCGCCATGCTGGGGCCAACATGTACCAAACCAGGGTTTTGTGGAAGACTTTGAATAGTGACACTTTCTAACACAGATTTCCTCTTGTGCATTGAGTAGTGTGACAAATATATACATACATCAATTAATCTGCACCTTGGCATCATAGAGATTACAAAAGTACAATCTGTAAATCTGGAGCAGCCCCAATACCAAACATAGAAGAGTAAGTTATTGCAGCAGCTGTGGTGTTACTCACGTCCTCCGTGATCTCGCCAACAGTTCTGAAGTAGACGACCATAGTGACTAGCTGCTGTGTGTAGAGGTACAACAGGAACAGGAAGAACAACACAGAGGACTGCTGCACCCACCTGCAACAACAAGACCTGTAGGCTAACACTTCCTGAACCACGGGAGAGACTATGTCATAAGTAAAGTGTACATACATGTATAACGATGTCAGTACAGTCAATTGCACAACTCAAAAAAGGGGAGGCAACCCATGGCAAAAATGGTGGCTAACTTCAGTAGTTTCTTAAAACAAACAATGGGATGCTTGGGACACATTTTCTATTCTAATGTTCGAATTATTGCGATATTTAATGAACATGAAATATCTAATATTAAAACCATGTTCTTTGGAGACACTAATCTACAAAATTACTTTAATATAAAATTACTGATTTTGTACATAACAATATTACCTTCACAAAAGATTATGCTAGGCTGATTGAACATGTTGTAATTATCATAATTAATTACAGAATTATTTTGTTCATTTTCTTTATCTCAGGATTTCTTTATCATGTCTACCATCTTATTTATGATTCTTATTTCAGGGATCTAAACAGTGCTAATATGCATTTCTATCTCTGTATTTTATAAAGGAAAGTTCTTTATGTGGGTTTTATATGCATGTTGACTAATAATATTTCTTTCTTAAATATTATTTATCTAAAGCACATTGTTCTCTACCATTCTTGTTACATACCATCTGAAGTATACTGGCAGGAGCAACGCATCGAATGATAGCATTGCCTGTAATGGATGTCCATGATACCTTTGGCTTGGCCTTTGAGAATGTAGAACCTGCAGCAAAGGGAAATTGTACTCATATCACTTTAACAACTGACAAATTTAAATGACAGGATCTGTAATTTTTCAGCATTTTGACAATAATGACAGTAATAGTACAATGATTATTTAACATTTTATAAGCCACATCTTAACAAGGGAACAGGAACGTTTTCATGACATGAATATTTGACTTTACTAACAAAAATGCCAATTGAAACATCAATGAAGTAACCATTTTATCTCTACTTACCTCGAATGAGGTCCACATCTATGAATTCAGTTTTTAACCTGCACTTTTTCTTGGAGCATTGAGTACTGTGGGTCTCTTGAAATTTTAGTGAAAATCAGATATTGCACATAGAGTATATTGAGTGATTCTACACAGAGCGTAGCATATCACATAGAATATATACAGTACTTCAGACAGATTCCATTTTTCCTGATTTGTTATATTAGCAGTGTTGTGTGATCATAAACCCTGAATGGTCTTATGTTGGCAGTGTTTTGTGAACAGTGTCATGTATGCAGTGTCATGTATTATCTGAATGGTTTAAAGTGAGCAATGTAATCTGAAGAATGTTACGTGTGCAATGATGTAAAGCTTCAATGCTTCTGTTGATTAAATATTGTAAAATAGATTAACCGATTGCTTGTTACAATGCTTTGTGATAAACACCAGAGTTTGCATGTGGTCTAACAAACATGCTTTCATTATTGTTGTGTTGGCGGAATCTGTAAAGAAACACCAAGCAAATCTGCCAGCCTTACCTTCTGCAGTTTCATCTCCACAGACTGCTCCCACAACTGTTTGTCATTGTACCCAATCTGAAACAGGACAGCAGACTGAGTATTCAAGCTTCAGTGACCTAGGCTATAAATCAGACCACATATTTACTGAAACCCACTTGAATGTGTTCATGTCCATATAATCATGTTGAGACCACAAATTGAATATACTAATATATATTTTTTACTCCCTGGCTTGAAGCAGATTGTTACAACAAAGTATTGTTCCCTTCAAATGCTTCCCGATAAACTTTCTTTAATTTACTAAAAAGTATAAAAACCCATTATGAACCTGCCAGACCTTGGTATGATTTTGAAAACATGTAACCTCAACTATGCTTAGAGATCCAACACATTCTAAGTGTCAACAGTTAACATGTTAATGAAATGTAAATTAGCTTGTCCGTGTGACAGTTCTCACACAAACAAGCCTTCACATATTCATCATGCTGTGTTGTGTCTTATCAACAGGATATAGGACACTACAAGATGATCGTACGTGACATAGCTGGGTTAGACATAGCCATTAGCCCTAAACTTTAATTTGGGAGAACTGCCTGTTTTCTTCCACCTGTAGTCAGGACAAAACTGGTCTAACTGACCCTGTGCTGTGGACAAAAAACTGGTCTAACTGACCCTGTGCTGTGGACAAAAACTGCTATGAGTATATTTCATTGACATGATTAACATTAATTTTGCTGGTAATAACTTAAAATGAATTCAACTGATAAATATACATTATTTCATGTCTTTTACACTTTTTCTCTGCTGATACCATCTTTCAAAACTATATTTGCTGAAAAGACTACCAAAGAATAGAATGCTATCAACTGTCATTTACCAACATTCAGAAGTTTTGTCTCAGTCTTCCCTAAATGTTTTTCAACTACTTGACACTTCATCGCACAAAGTCGTAGCTAAAGTGCAATGTTATTCTGGAGTATGTAAAAACAACTCTGATTACAACTCAATCATCTTATCCTGACTGGTGAGGTGAGGTGAGGTGAAATTGGGTTTAACGTCGTGCTTGAGAATATTTCGCAAGCTCATATGACGACCTGACTGGTAGTTTTGCAAGTATCTACGATGTGATGTCTGTCTGTATCATGGATAGTTTCAACACATTAACATGTATTCTGTGAGCACTTGTTTATGGTAAAATAATACATAAAAGCGCTGCTGGGAACCTGATAAATTGCCATAAGTTTAAAAGTTTCAGTGAAGAGTAATTGGAGAACCACCACCTGCTATTACAGTTATTTTTGCCTTTCATAAATAGTCATAAACATCGCAATATGCAACATGTGTATGGTCATATCAAACACCACCACAATAATGAAGCAGTCAATCATCTCTCATCCTCTGATCTTCAAAATTTGAATATCAGAAATGAGTTCAATTGAAGAATTATACACTAACTATATGAAATCCTGACTCTGGAAATATTAAAACCTACCTGACTACTCAACATAATCACATCGTCATTTTTAGAAATCATCCAAATTTTCAATCCAGAGTCCATTACCATATACCTTAATGGCATCAAAACAACTCCTCAACAGGTTCTAAGTCATCTTGAGTCACAGGAAGTTCCACATCATCCAAATACAAGAAATACTGTCAGCATGGTCACTGAAATGGTCCACATACACAGCACAACCTACAGAACCTCCACGAAACCTCCTACAGAACACCACCAACCACACTGCGACTCTAACAAACGACATGTCCCTCACCAGCAAACAGTGTGCTTGATATCATTTCCTCATCTGTTTCCTGTAGGGTGATGTATAGTTGTGCTATTTCTCATACTGACGACACACTCATTTGAATATTGAATAAACAGTCCCTCTGTGTTACAGAGTGCAGTTGAGCTAACTAGGCTTGCCTGAGGACATCCAACATACTATTCTCTATAATACGAATCATCTGCATCATAACTAGTAATTAAACAGTTTACTCAGATGAGGATGACCTCAATATAATGCTTGTAGGTAAGCACAGTGTACATCCTGTATTATGCATCACTTGGTAAATGTCCCATACATCTGTTGCACTATCTGGGTTGATTTCACACCTGTAGTCCTGTGCCTATAGAGAACCATCAATTTGCAGGCGCCAGTTGGCGCCAACTCTAATATGGCAATCTATTAGTGGACATGCACAAACTACCTCAGAGGCATACTCTTGGTTTAACTGCTGTATGCTTAAGGGCAAGGCAGGATAAAGGGTCATTCTGGCTCACAGAATCTGCATAATCTAAAACTTTTAGAAATCCTAAAGAAACTTATGAGGTATTTTCATATCAATGACACATATACTCTGTTCATTTCAACAATGCACATGTCTGGACAACACTACATCAGTAAATGTATAGGTAATGATAAAGGAAGATGATTTCAAAGATTTTCAGAAGTCTTGAACCCATGTATATTTTCATAGGGATTCAGAAAAAAAGGGGAAAATATCAAATTGTGTGATGGACATAATGCTTATACTTAGTATTTTCATTTGCAGTTGGAAAATTAGCCTTTTGCAGATTTCCATTAGGCCAAAATGAGACTTTTAACCCTACCTTGTCTATCATGTGGAATCAGGTCCACATCCCATGTCTGTACATCAGTGGTGAAGACATCAGTTACACTTTGACAGTATTTAGGCACTTTACAGTCATATATTGACAGTATCCCATACCTTTGTGGGATATATCTGACTTGGGAAAAAACATACTTCAAAAGCAACAACTAACATGTTCCTTTGGTGAGGTGAGGTGAGTTGAGGTGAGGTGAGGTGAGGTGAGGTGAGGTGAGGTGAGGCGAGGTGAGGTGAGGCGAGGTGATGCTGCATTCATGACTACTGCATTCAAATAGCAAGATGCATGCATATGGGAGATTTACAACTGCCAATGTTACAGGGCCATTGTGTTGATAAGTTGATTTTCAAACCTGCTCATACAACGTCATCCCTACTTCTGAGTGTCCTCAATGTAATGCATCTACATGCGTCTTGGGGTAACTGGCCTAAATCAGGTACATACGCACTACTGCCTCCAAAGAAAGGATTATATATATTTTGTGCTATTGAAAGAAGGAACAGAAATAACTCTATAGTAACACACACATTTATCAGATACAACCCTATTTTGAATACAATGACACTTTGATCTGAGATAACACGACAACACATCCATTTAGTCAGAGACAACACTACTCAAGCAGATGCCAACCCCAAAGTGTTGCAAATAGTAGTTTCAAAGATCAAAATTAGTAGTTTGACCATAAAATTAGTAGTCAACTAAATACTTAAAATCATGATGGATTCTGAGAAAGATAATATGAAGCTTTAATTTCACATACCTCCAACAGCAGATTTCCAAATTATCATCATAAACCAGGTTCGATTGATTGCCACCTACCTTCATTATAACATAGTGGCAAGGCATTGCATCTAAATTTGGTTTTAGTAGAGCTCACCTTTTTTTCTTATATGATATACAGGTATCTTTCTAGTTCAAATATGAATTTATATTCTCTATACATCATATATATCTAGAGCTGTTATTCAAAGTGGAAGTCCAACTTTGAGAAAATTCATTTATAAATGATTTTTTAAATAATTGTACAAAAGAAAGTTCATCACCAACAGATTGGTTAATGCAGATATATCCAAAGCCATGAGAAAACGAAATATTTTTTATGAACGATACCCAACTCTTTTTTCCAATGTCATCAAAATATGTTAACGTGTAATACACTTTCTTGGGTAATCTACACTTGGGTAATTTTAGCCAATAACGTAAAAGCCGTAAGTAAGCATTTATATATATTGGATAGCGACCACATTCACCATATACAATAGCATTAGGAGTTTGTTTTCCTACCCTTAAAAATCGTTTGCAGGTTAGAAGATGTACCTTTTCCAACAATTCATATTGCTTGACTTCCCAAATCTCACAGCCATATAATAATATCGGCATCACCTGAGAATCAAAGATGTTAAAATATATCATTCCAATCTTGTTTAGTTTGACAATGATTTCCATCAATGCTCTTTTACCCCGGCTGGCCAAGTCTGAAATGCATTTTGTCATTTTTAAGTTACTTGAAAACCAGACACCTAAATATTTGTAACTATTTACAGTGGCGATTTGGTTTCCTTTATAAACCACTATTTCGAAAGAATGCCTCCTTTTCTAAACACAATAATTTGTGATATATCAAGATTAACAGTTAACCCCCAATCGTCTGAAAATGTTTCAAGAAAATGTTTTGGCCTATATATCCAAATTTTAATGAATTTTCTTCAAATTTCGTAGAATTTCTAGTGCAGTAGTATTGGTGTAGTTTGAGGCTAAAATCTGAAGTGACTACGATAAAATCGTAGAGGTTGGCATCTCTGCTATAGCACTGACCATAGCCAGCTATATCCCTTAAAGACAGTATCAACCTTACTCGGAGATATCCCTACAATAGCACCCAACATAGAGATACTACTATAACATCACCCACTTAAGTCAGAGATAATACTACATCACCCACTAAAGTCAGACATAACACTACAATAACATCCAATATAGAGATAATACTACAATAGCATCCAACATAGAGATACTACTATAACATCACCCACCTTAGTCAGAGATAACACTACAACATCACCCACCTTAGTCAGAGATAACACTACAACATCACCCACCTTAGTCAGAGATAACACTACAACATCACCCACCTTAGTCAGAGATAACACTACAACATCACCCACCTTAGCCAGAGATAACACTACAACATCACCCACCTTAGTCAGAGATAATACTAAAACAGCACCCAACATTGAGATAACACTAAAACATCACCCACCTTAGTCAGAGATAACACTACAACATCACCCACCTTTGTCAGAGATAACAGTAAAACATCACCCACCTTAGTCAGAAATAACACTAAAACATCACCCACCTTAGTCAGAGATAACACTAAAACATCACCCACCTTAGTCAGAGATAACACTAAAACATCACCCACCTTAGTCAGAGATAACAC